TTTGTTTAGGTCTCTGTTGTTTTTTTTTGTGCTCCTATCTTTCTGTACGTTTGGGTTTGTTTCTTCCTTTTGGGTGAATGGCTTGACTCGGTGGGTGGTAGGTGGTTCTGCGTTGATTGGGCTTAGAATATTGTCTTCGGTGTGTTGGTTTTGTTATAATCCTCTTTTTAAGTTTGTCCTTTTACTTCTTGTTTTTTCGTTGGTTCTTGTCTATTTCCGTTTCTGTAGTTTCTTTTTGGTTTATTTTGTTGTTGTTGAGGATGGTTTTCTGGTGGTTGGGGGGACGTAAAATTTTATTCTTTTTTATTGTTTTTGTTTTGTTTTTCTTGTTTTTTTGTTATTCGTTTTTTTACTGTTTACTGTTTTAGGGTTATCTTGCTTATTTGTACTGTGTGGTTTGGTTTCCTATTGGTCCTCTCTTTCGGTCCTTGTCTGCTTGTTGTCTATTCCTTCTTCTATTTATGTATTTATCTTCTGGTGTCTATTTTTATTCTGTACTTGTTTGTTTTTCGGGGAATGTGTTTTTGGTTGGGTTTTGACTGTTTGTCTTTTTGATTTGCTTTTTTTGTTCAGTTATGGGTTCTTACTTTCTTTAGGGCGTTTCCTTATGTATTCTTAATTGTTTCGGCCGTGTTATTGCGTTTTGTTGTACCTTAATTTTTTGGTTGTGTTTTTGTTATCTTTGGTTCGTGTCCTTGTTTTTTTTTATTTGTTCTTGGTGACGTGCGTGTTTTGACTGTTTTTTTTGTTGGTTTTTTGGTGTTCTGTGTCGTTTCTTTTGGCTTTTTGTGTTTACTTGTTTCTCTATCCTCTCTAGTGTACTACTTTTTCTATATATATTGTTTTTCTCGCTTGTTCTTTGTAAGAATTTTTTCTATGGTTGTGCGAGGTACTTCGCGTGTGTTGTGTGCTTATATTGGTTACTTTTTTTTCTTTATCGTTGTATGTTTTTTGTTTTTTTTGTATTATCCGTTATCTTCTTCTTTTTTTGCTACTTGCTTCTCCTTTTCGGTGTTCTTTTCTCGTTTTGTTGTTGTTTCTTCATACGCTTTCTTTCCTGTGTCTTTCCGCTTCGATGTCTGAAGTGTGGGGTGCTCTACCGTTCCCTTCTGTTAATTTTTTGCTGTGTTTTGTTTTTTCTTCTATGGTGTGTTTGTCTTTTTTTTTGTGTTTTTCGTGTATTTGTTTTAATCTTTTGTTTTTTTCTGTCTTTGCTTTGGGGTGTGGTGTTGTGTTTTTGGTTATGTTATCTTTGTGTTTGTCGGGAGCGGGCCGGGTGGGTGTTGTCAGGTTAGCCTTCTTTCTCTTTTGTTTCCTATGTCCTTCTTTTTTGTTCTCTGTTCTTGTGTTAGGTTGTGTGGGGTTTTATAGTTTTTTTGGTGTGTGATGATTTCTTTGTGTTGGGTTACTACCTCGTGTTTGTCTGCCTTGTTTTTAGTGTTTTCTTGAGTGAGCGGGGTGCCGGTGTGGGCTTTGGTTTTTTGTGTTTATTTTGTTTTTGCCTCTGGTAGGTGAGGGTCGTGGGTTTCTGCCTTTCTAAGCCTGAGTGTTTTGTTTTGTACTTCTCTCTTTTTGTATTTTTTGTTCTGGTTTTGTTGTTACTTTTGGTTTTGTGCTGTAGGGGCGTATGTCGGTGTGTGACAATTTTTCTTTGTAATGTTTTTTTAGTTTGTGTACTGTTAATGCCTGATGCTTTGGGGGCGTTTCCTTGTGTGTATTTTTGTGGTGTTTTTTTTGGTTGCTTTTTATGGTTAATGTTCCCTTGTGTCGGGTTTCCCTGGATGTGTTACTGTGACTGTTTTTTTTTATCTGCTTTTTTTCTCTTTTGTTGTTTTTTTATGGTGTTTTTGGGATGGATGCTGTTTTCGCATTTGATTCTTGTTACGTCGACTTGTTGTTGCTTCTGTTTACCGGTCCTGTTCGGTTTGTTGTTTAGCTGTGTCTCGGTAGTGTTGTCGGGTATGGTGTATTCGTTGGTGTTGTAGTACGTTGTTGTGTTTCGGTTATTTTGTGTTTTGTCCCGTACTTGTTATTGTTTTTCCTTGGGCTAGTTGTTTGTTTGCTCGTCTATGGTTCGGTTTTTGTCCTTTCTTCGTTTTTTTTCTTTCCTGTACCTTGTATTCTTTCTTTTTTTCTGTTTTTTTTGTGTCATTCTTTTTCTTGGTTTTTTTTGGCTTTTGTTGTCTTTTGTTGTCCGCTTGGTGGTCGGGTTCGTGGAGGCTTGTTTGTTACTTTTTAAAAACTTTTGTTGCCTGGTTTCTGGGGCTCGTTTTCTGTTCTGCGTAGGTTTTTGTTGTTGATGTTCTGATATAATTGGTTATGGACGTGTTTCGTTGTTGTTATGGTTTGGTTTTGTTTGTAGTGGTGTGTTGTGTAACCTGTTCGTTGTGTGCAGCGCTCCTTTTTTGGGTATTTTTGTGGTGTTGCTGTTATTGTCTCTGTTTTTTGGGTGTGTGGCGTATTGCTTGTCGGGCCGAGTGGGTTTGTATCTCGAGCTGTTTCTCCTTTGTGGTCGTATGGTCGCTTTTGCTTTTTGTTTGTTTATTCTTTCTTTCTAACCTTGTCTCTTGTTTTTTTTCGTTCTGTGTTCTTCTTGTTTTCTTTTTGACTTTCTTTCTACTTGTTTGGTTGTTTTTACTTGTTGTTTTCTTTTGTTGGTTGGGGTACTATTCTTGGTTGTTTGTTTGCGTTCGTTCTTTCCGTTTCTTACTCCGTTTTCTTTTTTCTCGTTGCGTTGTTACCTGTGATTTTTCCTTTCTTTTTGGTCTTTTTGTGTTGCTTGGTGCTGTGTTGTTTTGTTCTTCTTTTTTGTTTAGCCCGTCTTTTTGGTATTAATTTCTAGTCTGGTGTCCTTGTTTCTACTTGCCTTACGTTTCCTTTGTGCCTTGTAGTTTTGCCCTTTTTACCCTTTTCTACCAGCTCTACTTGGGGGATGTACCTTGTTTATTGTTTGCTTACTATGAGTTTTTTTTTTTGCTTGTTTGGCTGGCTTATTACGTGTGGTGCGGTTTTCTTTTTTGTTTTTTTTTCCGTACTTGATCCTTAACCTGGTGTTTTTTTTCTTTTTTTTTTTGTACTTTAGTCTGTTGGTTGTTTTTTTCTTTTGTTTGTATTTCGTTTTTGAACCTTTTTTTTTTGCGTTGTTTATGACCGGTTTTTGTTTGACCTATCCGGCTGGTTTCCACGGGGTCTTTCTTCTTAAATTGTTTTTTTCTACTTGTTTATTACTTTTCCTGCTTGTGTTCGTTTTGTTCTTCGCTGTACTTTTTATTAACTTATTTCTTTAACTTTTCGTCATTATCTTTTCGTTATTCTATTTTTGCTTGGTGGCTTGAGTCTTTTTTTCTGGTTTGTTACGTGTTGTTTTCTGTGTCTGGTTATGGTGTTCTTCTTTTTTTATTCTTGGTTTTTTAGTTATTTTTACGTATGATAGCTGTTTGCCCGGTGTGTTGTGTTGGAGTGTTTTTTTTTTTTCGTTTTTTTCTTTGTGATTCTTTGTTCCTTTTCGGTACGTCTTTTATGCGGGTGTGTTTTTTTGTTTCTTTTTGGGTTTTTTTTGATTGTTTCTTACTGTTTTTTTTTGAACGTTCTTCCGGGTTTGGGTTGTTACTTATTATTTTTTGTTGTCGTCTCTTTTCCGTGTGGTTTATTGTTGTTAGCGTGGGTGTTTTTTTTGTTTTATACTATGTGTCGTTGTTCGGGTGTGCGGGCGGATTGTCGTATTTTGTGTTGTTCTTCTTCTTCTATTTGTCTAGTTGGGTTCCGAGGTTTGTGTTTCGTCTGCCTTTTTTCTCTTTTGCTCGTGGTTTATCGTATGGTGTTTTTTGTGTTGTTTTGTTTTTAGTTTCGCTTTCTTTGTTTATATCTTTTTTAACTATTACTCTTTTACTGTCTTAATTTTTTGTTTTTAGTCTGTTGGAGTGAGTCGTTGGTTTTGTCTTTTATAGTATGTCTTGTTGTGGTGTCCCCTTTTGTTTGGTAAGCCCGTTTTTCTTATGTTGTGTCTTTGGGTGGGTCGTATCCTTTTGTTTGGTGTTACTTTGGTTTTTTTGAAGCTTTCATGTCTTGTTTTTTTGGTGTGGTGGAAAACGTGTGTGTTCCTTACTTCTCTTGCGGACAGTCTGTCCTTTCTTTTTTGTGTGTGGGGTTGTCTGTGTTTTTTCTTTTACCTTTGGTTTATATTGCTGTGTGGTGGTTATGACGTGTTGGGCGTTTATTGACTTCTGGTGTGTTCTTTTTGATCCTTTTTTTGTTTACTATGTCTGGTGTTTTGACTTCCTTTTTTTGCTCTTTCTTTCCGTTTGACGTTGGGTCTTGAATAGTGACTAACTTTTTGTGGTTTTGGTTTGACTCTCGTTAGTGTGTGTGGTTGACGGGTTTTTTTTTTGTTTTCCTTGTCTTTTTGTATTTGTTGTTTGTTTTTTTTTGGTAATCTTTTGTTTTTTCCCGTTGTGACTTAGGGTTCGTTATGTTCCTTTCTGTCTTTAACTGTTGTTTTTTTTTTTGATTTTTTTTGTCTTATCTCCCTTTTATTTTGTTTGGTTTTCTTTTTTGGTTGTTGTGTTATCGCGACCTGTTTGGTGTGGGGTTTGTCGCTCGTCGTTGTTTTCGTTTTATTTTTTGTTCCTGCCTCCCTGCTCTTCTTTATTAAAAAAAGTTACTAATGGTTACTGTTAGTTATTATTTCTTCTTAGCTTGTGTCTTTTTTTTTCTTGGTCTTCGTTTTGTTTTATTATCTTTTGTTTTTGTTCTACTTTGTCTTTTGTTCGTTCCCCTTGGTGCTTTGTATCTATTGATTTTTTTTTTTTTTGCTTTATTGTGACAGAGGGTCTTTCTTATGTTTTCGTTTGTTCTTGTTCTTCGCTACCGCCGCCAAAAATAATACAAAAATTAAAAAAATAATAAATTATTAATATTGGGGGGGTGGTGGGGGTGTGGTGTGGGGGGGTTGGGGGGTGGGGGGGGGTGGGGGGGGGGGGGGGGGGGGGGGGGGGGGGGAAATGGGGGGGGGGGGGGTGGGGGGGGGGGGGGGTGGGGGGAGGGGGGGGGGGGCGGGGGGGGGGGGGGGGGGGTGGGGGGGGGAGGGGGGGGGGGAGGGGGGGGGGGGGGGGGGACGGGGGGGTGGGGGGGAGGGGTGGGGGGGGGGGGGGGGGGGGGGGGGGGTATGTAGTGAGGGGGGGGATTGCTGGGTCGGGGCTTGTGGGACGTTTCGGGTGGTTTCGCTGATGTTGGGGTGGAGGTGCCCGGTCCGGGGGTGTGGCCTTCTGTTGTTTGGGGGTGGTTTGGGTTTGGTCTGGGAGGGGTGGTGGCGGGTGTTGTTTATGTTGGTGGCAGTGTGTGTGTTGGGTTTTTTTTTCGTTATAGCTGTGATCTGTCTGTGGTTTTTTGGGTGTCCTTTTGTGTGGGTTTTGACTATTTTATTGTTTGTCTGTGTGTTGTGTTCTCTTTTTATTTTTGTTTTTACCCTTGACGCTTCGTGGTTAGGCGAGGGACTTAATCTCTCTTTTTTCTTACGTTCTTAGTTTGTTTTATTTTTTGCTTGTTTGTTCCCTTTTTTTTCCTTTTCTTTTCTCTTGGTTCTGTTTTAGCTTTTATGTTTTTTTCCTTCATTGTGGTTTGCTGTTGTTGTTGCCTTTTTTCCTTTGCCTTTCGTTTCCTTTAATTTTTAAACTGTTTGTTTGTCTTCCCCGTTTCCTGTTTTTTGGTTTTTCCGATGTTCTATTGTTTCCTCTTCGTTGGTGTTTTTCTGTCATTAACCTTTTTTTTTCCGACTGTTTATCCTTTTCCTTTATTTGTGCTCTGACACTTTTTTTTGCTTTACTTTCTCTCTTGGTTGTTTTTCTTTTGCTCCCTTGTTCGTTTGTGTTCTATTTTTTTTTTTTTTGTGTGTGTGTTGTGTGTAGCTCTTGTTTTGGTTGCTTTTTACTTTTGGTTTTGTCTGCTCTTGTCTGTCGTCTTCCCTTTCTTTCTTTTTTTGTTCGGTCATGTGTTTTACTTTTCTTTCTGTCTTGTCTTCTGTTTGAACTGTTCCTTGTTATTTTTGTGTTATTTGTTCACTCGTTTTCTGTCTCTTTTTGTGGATCTTGCTTTTCATTTTCTGGCGTTGTTCTTTTGTTTTTCGTTTTGTTTCTATATTTATTTCTGCTGGGGTTCTGGTGTTGCTTGTTTTTTCTTTGTTTTTCTCGTTTTGTGTTTTCGACTTTTTTTTTTTCTGGTTGCTCTGTTTCGTATTTTTGTTATTCTTTGTTTTTTTTCACTTTGTTTCGTTTTTTTTCTATTATTTGTAATTCTTTTTGTCTCCGTTTTCTTGTTTGTTTTTGTTTTTTCTTTTGTGTTTCGTTTGTTTTTTGATTTGTTGTTCTTTTTTGTTTGTTCGACTGGTTCTTTTCCTTTTGTTGGGTCTTTGTCGTTGACTCTCGATTTTTTAATGTGTTAATGGCCCCCTATTTTTGGCTGTTTGTGATGTTTTTTCCTCTTTTCTTGGCGTTTTCTCTGTAGTTTTTCTTTTGTTGTTTTGCTTTGTTTTTGTATGTTAGTTTGTTCTGGTTGTTTCCGTATTCGTTTGTTACTGCTCTTGCGTTGGTTTGTGATCGTCTATTTTTTGGGTATGTTATTAATTTTTGGGTCTTTTTTTTCTTTTGTGTGTTTTGTTTGTCGTGTGGTGATTATTTTGTGTGTTTGTGTTGGTTAACTTTGGGTCGGTGGTGGTAGTTATGTGTTATTTCTTTTTTTGAATTTATCTGCGAGGGGTTGCTCCCGGTGTTGTGCTGCAGTTTAGACGACTTTCGTGTTGTCTTATAGTTTTTAGTTGCGGTGTTTAGTAAAAATGTGTGTTTAGTATTCTTTTGGGTCTTCTTTTTTTTTTTTTTCCTCGTGTTTCTGTCTTGTGTGTTTTCGTGCTTGTCTATTTATTTGTGTTGGGGCGTGTGAGTGTTTGTGTTTATTTTTGCCTTCGCTGGTTACTTTTTTGTGTTTGTTATTTGTTTTTTTTTGTTTTTTTTTTTTGTTTTTTACTTTTATTGCTTCTGTTTGTGTTTTGTTTATTTCGGTTTGTGCTGTTGGTAAAGGTGTTTTTTCTTTGGGCTACTACTGGTTCTGGTATCTCTTTGAATATGTGTTTGGTAGCGAGGGTCCTTCTTGGTGTATCGATTTGTATTGCGGTGTCCGCGTTGTAGCCTGGTTCTTTGACTGTTGGTCTTGCTGGCGTTTTTTTAATGGGCTGTTTATATTTTTACTTTTTGTTTACCCTTTTCTGTCTTCGTGTTTTTAGCATTTTGCTGTTTCCTTTTTCTTTGTCCTTTCTTGTTCCGTGTGTAGTTTGGCTTCTTCGTTTCTCTTCTTTACTACTTTTTGTTTTTTGTGGTTTTGTTTGTGTTTTCGTTATTTCTTTGTTTTTAGGGTTTTTGTGGGTTGTGTTTATTGGGTCCTTTATTTCTTTGGTTACTCTTTTTTTGTGCTTCTCTTGTTTTTGTCCTGTTTTTGTGTGGTGGGTCTTTTATACCTTCTGTTTGTTCTCCCTACTTGCCCGCGTCGGGTTGGTCCTTTTGTTTTTTTTTTGATTTTTTTGTTTTTTTTTTTTTTTTTTTTTCTGCTTTTGCCTAGTTTTTGTTAATCTTAAGTGGGACTTTTGGTTGCTTTTTTTTGTTCGTTTAGAAAGTTTCGTATGTCTTCCTCTAGTTGTTGTTGTTTTCGTTTCCCTACCCTTATTCCTAATGGTGTGTGGTCGGTTTCCTTTTGTTTTGGTGTGGTACTGTAAGTTGTGTTTTTGTGTCGGTGTGCTCGCGGTTGGGTTGGCCCGGTTGTTTTGTGTCTTTTATTTCTAACAGAGGGACTGGCGTTGGGCGTTTACTTGTGTGTTTCCCGTTTTTATTTTTGTATGCGCTGTTGCTGTTGATGCTGTTCGTGTTTCGGGTTTTTGGTTTTGTTATTTTATCTGTTTGTACTATTTGTTGTAGTTGTCTTTGTTACGTTGCGTTTATATCTTTTTTTGGTTCATTTTTGTGATTTTTCTTTGTGACTTTATCTTTCTTTACGGTTTTTTTCTTTTTTCTTTGGTGGCTTCTGTTTTTTTTTTTTGTATTTGGTTGCTGCCCTTAGTTTTAATTTTTATGTGGTTGCTTTTACTTTTGTTGTCTTTTTTTTTTTGTTGTTTGTTTGTTACTTGCTTTGGTTAGTGTATGTGTTGGTCGTTTACTGCGTTCCTCCTTGTTCTTTTTGTACTTTGTTTGTTCCTTGTTGCCTTTGTTACTAGCTTTTTCCTTTTTTTTTTGTTTGTTTGTTAAGTCTTTCTTCCGTAGATTTTCTCCTCGTCCTTTGTTCTGAGTTCCTTGTGGTGTTGTTGTTGGCTGTTATAAATTGGTTTTTTTATTTTTGTGTTTATTTTACTTTGCCTGTTCTTTCTGTTCACTTTGTCTTTTTTAAGTTGCTTTGTTGTTGTTTGGGGGTGTGTTGGTGTTAGCCTTTACTATCTTTTCTTTGTTTCTTTCTTTTCTGTTGCTTTGATATTTTTAGCCGTTTTGTTCTCGGTCGTACTGTCTGTGTCGTTTCGTTTGTTGTTTTTTCTTTGTGCTGTCTGTGGGTGGTGTTTTGATGCCTATTTCTCTGTTTTGTCCGGTTCTTTGTTTTTCTCACTTTTCTTTTCCTCGAGTTTCTTTTGGTGTTTGACTGAGTTGTGTTCCTCTGGGGGAGTGGGTTTTCTCTCCTTGCTGGATTGTAGTTTATCGTTCGTTTTTGTCTTTTGTGTTTGCCTGTTTGTTTGTTTAGTTTCGTTACTTGATTTCGGAACTGTTGCTTTGTTTGGTTGCCGTGTTCTTCTTTGCTTTTTGATGTTTTCTTTGTTACTTTGTTGACTTTTTTTTTGTTTTTTTGTTCTATGTGTTTTGTGGACTGTGTTGGTGGCTTTGGGAAATTTTGTCTTTCCTTTTCTGCTCCTTGTCTTTTTTTTAATGTCTTTTCTATGCTTATGTTTGGTTTTTTTCGTCTGCTTGTGCTTTTGTTCTTTGTGATAGTAACTTCTTTATTTTTGGTTTCTTCTCTCCTTTCTTTAACTCTTGTGTTGTGCTCCTTGTTGGCTCTTTGGTGTCTTCTGGGTTGTTTTGTGTTGTTTTTTTGCTTTGTGTTTCGTGTTTTATGTTTTTTTTTTCTGTCTTGTATGTTACTTGTGGGGTTCTGGTCTGTTTGTTTTGCTTCTTATGGTAATTCGTACGGGCTTGTTGTCTGTGGTTTGTTTTGGATCTTTCTTCTGTTTCTTCGTTTTTTATCTTTTTTTTTTCTTTCCTTGTTGTAACTTTTTTTTTTGTCTTTGTCTCTTGCTTTCCTGTTGCGTTGTTTTTCTTTTTTTGCTGTGCGTTTGGCGTATAGTGCTGTTTTTTTATTGTTTTTTGGTTATTTGGGGTGGCTGTGGGGCCTCCTTTCTTGGTTTTCTCTGGTGTTCTGGTTTCTTTTTTGTTTTGTTGTTTTCTGTGTACTTACTTGACTGTTACCCTCTTTTTGGAACTGTTGTACGTCTTTTCTTGCTTTTTTATTTTGTTGTAGTCGTCTTTTTCTTTTTATCTGTTGTATTCGTTCTTTCTTCCTTTTCTTTTTCCGTGTGGTTTGCTTTGTTTTTATGTGTTTGTTCTGTTTTTATGGAACGTTTCTTTTTTCGACCTTGCTCGTGATTCCTACTACGTTTCTTTTTCTTTTTTTTTTTTTGGTTGTTATTTTTTTCCTGTTTTCGTATGTTATTTTTTTTTTTTTTATTGGCTTTCCTTTCTATTCTTTTAGTGTGGATTTTTGTTATCGTTTTTATTTGTCTTGTTGTTAAAGTCCTGTCGCTGTTTGTTGGTTCGTTATTTGTGTTAGTGTTTTTTTTTTCTTTGTTGTTTTTCTTTTGATCCTTTTGCCCTTTTTTGCTTTTTTGGTCCACCCCCCCTTTTGCTCTTTATGAGTGGTTTGTTGGTTACTTTGTTTGTACTGTTTTGTTCCCTCTTACTTGCCTGTGTTGTGTTTCTTGTTCTGTTTTTGTCTGTTTATATTTTCTTTATCCGCTCTGCTCCCTTTTGTATTTTTTTGTTGTTTTATGTTTGTTTTTACGCTAAGTTTTGAGTTTTTTTTTTTCGGCTTTTTGTGGTTGGATCTGTACTGTTGTCTCGGTATCTGATATGTGTTTTTAACTCCTTCGTATTTGTATTGCTCTCTTTTCTTTACCGCTCTTTTTTTTGTGCGTATTTTTTACTGTTCTTTGTGTTTTTCTGTTTGTTCTCTTATGGTTTTTCGTTTGTTTCGCTGGTTTGTCGTGCGTTTATTGCTTTTTCTTTCGTTGTTTCTTTTTTCGTGTCTTTTTTTTTTATACCCCTTTTTCTGTCTTTTGTCGTTTTGTTTCTTTCTCTCCTTTGACTTGTGTGACTGTAGTCTTTAGGTCTTGCACGTCTTTTTTTTACTTGCTAGTCTCTTTTTGTTTTTGTGTTTCTTTTTTTTTATTTCGGGTGAATGTTTTTTAGGCTCATGTGGTTATTT